ACTTTAAGACATCAGGTCTCTGTGCAGGACAGAGTGGAAGGATTTCCTTGCAGCCGGCACATGGTGGCTGATGTGAAGGAACAGAGCAGTGAGACTGGGCTGGGTCACAGGGGTCGTGGAGCCACCGCTGGACACCAGAGGACGGTCCCGCCATCATGCAGAACCAGATGGAGGATCCAGCAAGGGTAGACAGCAAGGGTTGGAAGGGACGGGGCTGACGCAAGCCAATGGTACAAACTGGGGAACAGGGCAGAACGCAGGTCTGAGCCCCTCTGAAGCTCTGTCTTGGCCACCTGCAGCTCGGGCTTGGGTGTCTGTGGGCTGTGACAGTTGCCTGTGCACCTGCTGACCTCTTTGTGTGGAAGTTGTAGGGGAAGGGGATGTACGTGCTAATAGTGGAGAGGTAAACCGAGGCAGAAGTTCATGGAGGTGTAGGCTGGGGGCTTTGGCTCTCTCCTTTGTTTTCTGAGACAGGGTCTCACTAGGCAGTTCAGGCTGGCCTTAAATTCACTACCTAGCCCAGGCTGGCTTTGGACTCAGAGTGACCTTCCTCCTGCCTCAGCCTCCTGCGGACTGGGATCACAGGGAAAGTCAGAGCTTGGCCATGGCATCTGTTGGGAGGAGTCTCTCTCTCTGTCTCTGTCTCTGTCTCTCTCTCTCTCTCTCTCTCTCTCTCTCTCTCACACACACACACACACACACCCAAGGTGCATATCCTTCTTTGGGGTGATCAGGACTGAGCCTCCTTTCTCTCACTCAGGACAGTGGGTGAGCGAGAGGCACGGAGGGAGGGCAGAGCTCGAGTGTGCAGGGCCTGTGGCCCTGAGCTCTGGGACTGAGACCCGAGCTGGAGCGAGGCCCAGCCTGGAATCCAGTCCCTGCTCTTCCCCGCCAGCCAGGCCTGCTGCAGCTGGCAGCACCTGTCGGTCTTGGCTGAGGGCTGCAGGTTCTGGTCTAGAAAGCGGCTTCGTCTCTGCATCCCTCGGGGCTCCCCAAGTCCTCTGCCCCATTGTGCTCACATGGCCAGATCAAGACTGCATGGGGGGGGGGACTGCTTGGGGAGGGGAGACTGTCTGGCTCCAACGAGCAGGGAGGATCAGGAGGGCCGGAGTGAATGAGGGGCCCTGGCTGCCCCAACCCCAAACCTGCTCGCTGCCCAGGATTACCTGCCTTGGCCTTGCCCCCTTGCCTCAAAGACTGCTGCTCAGGCCCCAGCCACTCCCAGGGCCACCTGTGTGCGACAGTCATGCAGCCTGGCCTCCTCTGGTCCCTGCCACTGGCGCCCTCCAACCCATCTCTCACTGCTTTAATTTTTGTTTGCTTGAGACAGGGCCTGGCTGTGTAGCCCAGGCTGGCCTCCAGCTCTCGGTAATTCTCCTGCCTCAGTCTCCTGATTGCTGGGATCACAGGCATATGCCAGCACCCTGGTGTCCCTATTCTATCACTATTTTTTGCATGTCTGTTTGCTGTCCCATACCAGGGCCTCTCTGTGGACAAACTGTTGTGGATCTCTAGCTGCCTGGCATGGAGCACATAGTAGGTACTTAACTAGTTTGGGAGGCTGGGGAGATGGTTCAGTGGAATAAGTGCTTCCCTGGCAAGTGCAAGGGCCTGAGTTCAATCCCTGGTTCTGCCAAAAAAAATAAAATAAAACTAGTTTAGTACTAGGCATGGTGGTGAATGCCTGCCATCCCAGCACTGGGGAGGCTGAGGCAGGAGGATCGCCTGAGCTGGACTGCACAGTGACTTCTAGGTCAGCCTGAACTATAAAGCAAGACCTTATCTCAGAAAGAGAGAGAGAGAGAGATGGGGCTGGAGAGATGGCTCAGTGGTCTAAAGCACCTACTTGAAACAAGCTTGGCAAAGCACAAGGACCACGGTTCAATCCTCCAGCACCACATGCCAGCCAGCCGCGCCCCCTGGTGGACTGAGCTGGCCACACACACACACACAATAAATAAATGTAATAAATAAAAAATAGGGGCTGGAGAGATGGCTCAGTGGTCTAAAGCACCTACTTGGAACAAGCTTGGCAAAGCACAGGGACCGCGGTTCAATCCTCCAGCACCACATGCCAGCCAGCCGCGCCCCCTGGTGGGCTGAGCTGGCCACACACACACACACAATAAATAAATGTTAAAAAAAAAACTAAAAAAATAAATAAATAAAAAATAAATCAAAAAAAAAAAGAGAGAGAGAGACAGAGGGGGACAGAAAGAGATGGAGAGGGACAGAGAGAAAGGCAGTATATGAAGAAAGGGAAGGAGTGAGTAGGTGCAGGGAAAAGTGAGGGCTTTGCTGTGGGCTGAACTTGCCTGGGAGGCCACAGCTGATTGCAAACAATGTGTGTCCAGGTCCTCAGGCTCCTGCGTGGTGACCTCAGGGTGAGCCTGAGGTCAAGGGTCAAGTGAAGTTCACTGTCAGGGTGACTTCCTACTGGCTGTGCCTGACAGCAGCGCCTGAGCCCACCCTGCAGGGTGTGTGTGGCATCTCCTGCATTTCTGTCACCTCCACTCTGAGCGGCTATGCAGATGGGGCCGTGGGGCAGTGCCTGATGTCTTTGGGGCCAGGCACCCACAAGGCAGCCCGCCCAGGCTGTGGGCCTGCAAGAGCTGGAAGGCCTCGGGGCATAAGCATTAGTGTGGCGCAGTCCTGAGCTGCCTGCGGGAGGCGCCTGGCAGCCGGTGTCGTCCTGGTGCACAAAGGGTTCTGCTCGCTGGGCTACTTCTCACATCCTCCCTTCCCATGCAGACGTCCCAGGCAGCCTGCACTGTGGGCCGCTCCCCAGGTGCTGCTTGCAGACGTGTCACTGTCCTTTCCCTTTGTGCGGTCAGAGGAGGCCGGGCCCACTGCGCCTGCGTCCGCGTGGAGGCCCCGCGCGGCTGGAGCAGCTGGAACTCGCTTTATGAAATTACAGGGAATTCAAAGCAGCCGGCGTCGCCCGCTGTCTGGCTTCATTACTACGACAGCCGCGAAGGGAGGTTTATGCCCATAATTTAGCGGATTAGGGGCTGACGCCCTTCATTAGTGATTTGACACAGGCAGAAAAGACAGCTTCCAGAGGGAGCCACAAGAGGAGGAGAAGGCACCCACCCCTCTGCCATCCCGACACTGTGCCCCATCCCTGCTCTTTCAGTCCTTGTGACCTGTTCTTGTAACAGGGTGTGGGGGGGGCGTGGTGGCACACACCTGGAATCCCAACATTCAGGAGGCTGAGGCAGGAGGACTGCCAAGAGTCTGAGGCCAGCCTGGGCTGCATAGTGAGACCGTCTCCATAAAACCAGAAGAGGCGGGGGCTGGGGTACTCTCTTCCAGGGCTCTGTCCCCCTACGGTCCTGGCACCAAGCGGCCAACACAAACATACTCAGCCTGCTGGCTGCTCCGAGGCCTTTCCGGGAGAGAGGCCCTTTCCTGCTGAATGGGAGGGGAATCGCCCTTCAGCCCCTGGCAGCTTCTGGCTCCGTTCCCAGCCCCTCCACAAAACACACCCCGATTTTCAAAAATGTCTGGTGCTTTCTATAAAAACCAGACTCAGGGCGGCTCCTGGTGGTGGTGTGGGCAGATCAGTGGAGGAGGGGTGGCTGCCAACACCCCTTGTCCCCCAGGGAGCTGGTGTCCCAATCTTCTTCGTTCATGGTGGGGTCACAGAGCTGTGACACAGAACAGAGGCCTAGCCCGGCTGTGCATCCTGTTCTCAAACGTAAAGCACAGGCAGAGTCGAAGTGAGGGTGGAATGGAGGCCACAGTACGCCTCTGGTGACTGTGCCGCCCTCACTACTCATTGTGACCCTGGCTAAGTCCCTTGTGCTCTTTCATAATAGACCTTCTCCCTGCAGTGGAAGACGCAAGGCAAGATCAACACGGTGCCTGCCACCCAGAAGGACCTCACTGGAGCTGGGTGGCACATGTCTGAGATCCCAGCACTCAGGAGGCTGAGGCAGGAGGATCACTGTGAGTTCAGGGACAGCCTGGGCTACAGAGTGAGACCCTGCCTCAAAAAAAAAAAAAAAAAAAAGCCAAAAAACCCCTCCAGAAACAAAAATTCTGTTTCAAGGGGAAAAAAGCTGGGGCCGAGCTTCCCATTCTTTGTATCCAATCCTAGTACTATGAAAACAACATTAAAGCATGAAAACAAACAAACAAGAGTGGCCCTGGAGCAGGGGCCACAGTGGCCAGGGGCGGCAGCCTGCTGTGTCACTGCCTGGCTCCCGGGAGCTGCAAAGGCCCAAAGGAGGAGCAGGAATGTGACATGTGCCGCGGCCGGGCCGCCGGCGGGACAGCGGACACTATCTGGTATGTTCTCTGGACCGATCCGGGAAAATGCCCTGAGGTTGGAAGCGAAGATCCGGCGTTCCGGGTGCGCACACCCCCGCGGAGGACCCGCTGCCGGCGGCCGGCGTCGGCTTACAGGGCCCGCGCTCCCAGGCCTGCCCTGGAATGGCCGTGAACTTGTTTTTCCACGTCATTTGCTCTCAAATGTACTATGGAGCTGGGCGACACTCCCCGGCCGCAGGTCCCTCCTTCTAACAAGCGATTGTGTGTTCTTTCGAGGTGGCCCCTGGAGGAGGGGGCCCAGGCCCGAGGAGGTGGGGAAAGGCAAACAAACCCTCCTGTAAGGGAGGCGCGTGTCCCGAGCCAGCCCCCGGCGCACATGCCTTTTCGGGCCCTTGAAGGGTTAAAGGCCTCCCGGAGTCAAAAACAAGCAGGTGTCCCACCGTGCCAGATACGCTGCCTAAACTGCTTCCAGCTTTCCCCCCTTCTGCAATAAGTCTGTGCTCGGCCACGGGACGGAGGCCGCCGCTGCCCGCCGGTGACAGGCGTCAGGTTAGCGGGCTCCCACCCGGGTGGCGCCCGGGATATAAATCCGGGCTCGGGCCCCTGCGGCGCCCCGTCCCTGCGCACCAAGGCGCCCGCTGGCCTTCTCGAGACCTTTCTTTCATCTGCAGCCGCTCTGGGAGCAGCCTGGGCGGCCGCTGCAGCAGCAGTCTTTGCCTTCGCAGGGAGACCTGCAGGGAGGGAAGGGCAGGTGGTCCTGCCCTAGGAGGAGGAGGAGGAGGAAGAGGAGGAGGAGGCGCCGGTGGGTTGCGGCCCCTGGCGTCCTGTCAAGGGAGGCCTCCAGCCACCACTGACCATACCATGTGGGCGCTCAGATGCCACCCATTCTGGCCCCGCTCTGGGCTACCGCTGCTGCTGCTGCTTGGGGTGCCCCTGCCAGGCCTGGCACTGCCACCCATCCGCTATTCCCACGCGGGCATCTGCCCCAACGATATGAACCCCAACCTCTGGGTGGATGCGCAGAGCACCTGCAAGCGGGAGTGTGAGGCAGACCAGGTGAGTGGGCACCGGTGCCTGGGACATGTGATGGGCAGCGGGGTGGCAGGGGGAGGGGACACCTTGCCGGTGCCCTCAGGGATATGGTGGGACACAGCCCCTGTGCACTCTGAGATGAGCAGGGCCCCACACTCCACACTGATGCTGGGGACAGAAAGAAGCCCCCATGGCAGCCACATTGATCTGAGACTGGAAGTGTGGGACCCCACCCTCCTGTTGGCTCAGGGCAGCCCCAGGCTGGGCAGGCCATGTGGACAGGCACGGGCACATGCTTGGAGGTAAGAGGAGGAATGCTCAGAGCCAGGCCACAGCCAGCGAGGGACATATGTGCCAGGGACCTGTGTCTCCTTGCAGGCCATCCTGAGGTTTCCTCCTGCCTCTGGCTACTGCCTCTGGCTTGGCCCAACCCCGGGCTGAGGAGCAAGGGGGGAGCAGCCAGTGAGGGTGTCCTGGGGGGGGGGTGGAAGGGGCCTGCATGGCAGCCACTGGGGCCCTCAGCAGGACCCTGCAGTGGGGAGGGCTGGCTCCAGGGCACCCCGCCACCCACTGCTGCGGTGACCCCAGGCCATCACTGCTCATTGTGTTCCGGGTGTGGCCAGCTTTGAAGGTGGCACAGTGTCCCGGGCATCCCAGGGAACTTGAGAGCCATCTGCCAGTCACAGGACAGCACAGGGCTGCCCTGGAGAGAGTGGCTGTGCCTCCCAGTGCCTTGGGGACAGTTCTAGGCCCCATGCACAGGGCAGATGCTGCCAGTGGGCAATGCTGGTGCAGGAATTGAGGAGCAGGAAGACCATGGCTGGCACCAAGAGATCAGGCCACTGGCTGAACCCACCTGTGAGACGCCTGTTTCACTGGCACAGGCTGCCCAAAAGGCAAGGGCAGGCTTGGGGACAGAGGGCTTGGCTGATGGCATGTGTCTTGGGAGAAGGTGCTGTGTGGGCTAAGGACACACAGATCACCCATGGGTACCTTGGTAATCAGAAGTCCTCTAAGGACCCTCAAGGGCCCAGCCATTCCTAGGCCTCTGGGCCCCCGGAGGCTTCCTGGTCCCAGTGTCCCAGGGAATAGTTTGGTCCTCAGGCTGCCCTGTTCAGCCCCATGAGTCTCTTGCCTTAGCCCCCAGCTCAGATCCCGCCTCAAAGCCTCCCCTGGGGTGGCCTCAAAGCTGATGCCAACCAAGAGCTGCAAAACAAAGTCCCCATTCTGAGCCAGAAGAGGGTAACAGTAAACAAAGCAGGCAGCTCTGCATGCTGCGGAGGGGGCGATTTGCCCCTCTTAGCTGATGTGGAATGTCAAAGAGGCAGAAATAAAAGTCGGAAGCACAAGAGGCAGCCCCCACAGGGAGCAGCTCGTGGGGTTACTACCTGGTGGAGGATTAGGGCAGCCGCCTGCCTGCCCAGCGGGCACGGCGCGTATTGTCGAAAACACCACGTGAAATCCATGTTTGTGTCGGCCCCGGAGCATGCTGCTAATTTTGAGGAATTAAACTAATGCCTTGTGGGGCTCCACCGAAATCAGAGGGGATTACAGCCTGGAGAGGCCTCGCTGACCTTTGCCACACAAAGGGGGTGTTTTGCTTGCTGCTTTCTCCCTCACTGAGCTGGGCACCTGGGCCCAGTGTCCTGGGCCTGATGGGTCCTGATGCTGATGCTGGTTTCCTTGAGGGGAGGAGAGGAGTGGGTGACATCTGTTCCAGAAGTGGCCTCTTCAATTTATGGAGAAAAGACACAGGTATGGCCTCCCTCTGGAAGCCTAGATCTTACTGGGGCAACATGGAGCAGGGTTCCAGGAGGGCTTCTGGGAGCCTGAAGCCTTTTCCTGCCGTGTCCTATCTGTGTGATGTGGATGTTACCTCCCTGCCACAGCAGAGTATCATCTATAAATTGCTGATAAGAAACACCTCCCCCCCTCAGCCAGGCCTGGTGGCACACACTTGTAATCCTAGCTCTCAGGAGGCTGAGGCAGGAGGATGGCTCTGAGTTCCAGGCCAGCCTGAACTACGTATTAAGATCCTGTCTCAAAAAACAAAAACTGGGCTGGGGAGATGGCTCAGTGGAATAAGTGCTTTCCTGGCAAGCACAAGGGCCTGGGTTCAATACCCGGTACTGAAGAAAAAAAAAAAAAAAAAAAAAAAGCAAGGGCTGACCAGATAGCTAAGCCGACTAAAGCACTTGCTTAGGCAGGTGTAAGAACCAGGGTTCAATCCCCTGTGTGGTGCCGGGCTGCCTCTGGGGCATGCTAAACTGGCTATTGAGACTGGGTGTGGTGGTCCATGCCTATAATCCCAGTGCTTGGGAGGCTGAAAACAGTAGAATCACTACAAGTAATTCTGTGTAGCAAGACCCTGTAGACTGTGTACTAAAAATATGTTAAAAGAAAAAAAAAGTAATTGCTTGAAGTTCTGTGTAGTGATTGATCTTGGGTAGTGTCACTGTGATGGGACAGCAGTGGACAGGTGTCAGGGCTCCTAGATGAGGGCTGCATCCCTCAGCCCCGGGGGCGGGCTTCTGTCCCTCCCCTATCCCCATGCTCAGCCCCTTCTCTGTCCCTGGGACCCTTTCAGGAGTGTGAGACCTTCGAGAAGTGCTGCCCCAACGTGTGTGGGACCAGGAGCTGCGTGGCGGCCCGTTACATGGATGTGCGGGGCAGGAAGGGGCCGGTGGGCATGCCCAAGGAGGCCACATGCGACCGCTTCACGTGCGTGCAGCAGGGCTCCGAGTGCGACATCTGGGACGGGCAGCCTGTGTGCAAATGCAAAGACCGTTGTGAGAAGGAGCCCAGCTTCACCTGCGCCTCGGACGGCCTCACCTACTACAACCGCTGCTACATGGACGCCGAGGCCTGCTCCAAGGGTGTCACGCTGGTCGTCGTCACCTGTCGCTATCACTTCACCTGGCCCAACACCAGCCCCTCACTGCCCGAGACCACTGCGCACCTCACCACGGCCTCCCCAGAGACCCCCGGGCTGGACCTGGTGGCCCCCGCCCTGCTCAACCACCCGGCGCATCAGTCGGTGACCGTGGGCGAGACGGTGAGCTTCCTGTGCGACGTGGTGGGCCGGCCGAGGCCTGAGATCACCTGGGAGAAGCAGCTGGAGGACCGGGAGAACGTGGTCATGCGGCCCAACCACGTGCGCGGCAACGTGGTGGTCACCAACATCGCGCAGCTGGTCATTTACAACGCGCAGCCCCAGGACGCTGGCATCTACACCTGCACGGCCCGCAACGCCGCCGGGGTCCTGCGCGCCGACTTCCCTCTGTCCGTGGTCAGGAGTGGCCTAGGGGTGGCCCCCTCCGAGAGCAGCCCCAACGGCACGGCCTTCCCGGTGGCCGAATGTCTGAAGCCGCCCGACAGCGAGGACTGCGGCGAAGAGCAGACGCGCTGGCACTTCGACGCCCAGGCCAACAACTGCCTCACCTTCACCTTCGGGCACTGCCACCGCAACCGGAACCACTTCGAGACGTACGAGGCGTGCGTGCTGGCCTGCATGCATGGCCCGCTGGCCGTGTGCGGCCTGCCGGCCCTGCAGGGCCCCTGCAAGGCCTATGTGCCGCGCTGGGCCTACAACAGCCAGACGGGCCAGTGCCAGTCTTTCGTGTACGGGGGCTGCGAGGGCAACGGCAACAACTTCCGGAGCCGCGAGGCCTGCGAGGAGTCCTGCCCCTTTCCCCGAGCCGACCAGCGCTGTCCTGCCTGCAAGCCGAGGCAGAAACTGGTGACCAGCTTCTGCCGCAGCGACTTCGTCATCCTGGGCAGGGTCTCAGAGCTGACCGAGGAGCCCGACTCAGGCCGCGCCCTGGTGATCGTGGATGAAGTCCTCAAGGATGAGGAGATGGGCCTCAGGTTCCTGGGCCATGAGCCACTGGAGGTCACTCTGCTGCACGTGGACTGGGCCTGCCCGTGCCCCAACGTGACGGCGGGTGACACGCCACTCATCATCATGGGCGAGGTGGAGGGCGGCATGGCTATGCTGCGGCCCGACAGCTTCGTGGGCCCCTCCAGCGCCCGGCGGGCCAGGAAACTTCGCGAGGTCTTGCACAAGAAGACCTGCGACGTGCTCAAGGAGTTCCCAGGCCTGCACTGAGCGGCTACGGGCCTCGCCTTCCCCTCCCCCACCCCACGGCCCCCGAGACCGCAAATCGGCAAGAACAGTTGAGACAGTAGGGAGATGCTGGCCCTCGGGGCAGGGCAGAGCCACCAGGGGCCTGAGGGCCACCCCTAGCCTTTGGGGTCAATACGGGGTCTGTGTGTCTTTGTTAGCTGAGGGGGACAAAGGAGAAGTCACTGGACGCTTGAGGGTGATTCCTCCAGCCTGGGTCGAGAGGCTGCAGACAGTCCAAGGGCTTGGGTTGCAGAGGGACTCAGCTTGCGGGAGGGACATGGTCCCACAGCCTGCAGCCCCCTGGAGGTCCGCCGTGAGCAGGGGCGCTGCACCATCCCACCCGCACACCTGCTCTGGGCAGAGGCCGCGCGTGCCTGGGAATGAACATCCCTGGGAGCAGGTGGGAGGGGGCCTGGGAGAGCTGTCACAGCGCGGCTCCCAGCACCCTGACCCCTGGGGCCTCCTGACTTGCAGAAAGGCCCAGGATCCGAATCGGAACCAGTACCGGAGGAAAGAAGGGAGGAAAGGCAGGCCGGGAGGAGGTAATGGAGGCAAAATCGGCAGGCGGTGGGCGGGAGGAGAAGGAGGAGGCGGAGGCTACTCGCTGCTTCCATCTGGCGGCCGCCGGGCGCAGCGACCCGGTAGAAGGCATCGGTGGGCCGACGGGGCAGGGCCGGCGAGCAGCCTCTGGTGGCTTTCTTTGTGTTTCCAGCCCATGACCCCGCAGAAGCCTTGGGAACCCCCGCTGTCAACTCTGTATCTGGCCCCCCAGCTCCCCCTCAGCCCTTGGCCCCGCCCAGCACCCCTGAGAGCTCAGGAAGGCCACGGCGAGGCACCCACGTACCCACGCTTCCTTCCTCAGTGTAAGGAGGAATCTGCTAATTAAAAGCCCGCAGCATCGACGGAGTGTGATTCACTGTGGCGTGGGGAGGGGGGCAGGCTGTCATTGGCGACATTTGCTGCGCTGACTTTTCAGGAAGAAGTCTGGTCAATGGTACCGAATATCTGGTGGCAGAGGGATGTTTGGATGTCTCACTGCTGAGCCTTTGGGGCAGGGAGGGTGGGACTTAGGCCCAGGTGACCAGACATGTCATCTCAGGGTCCCTCCACCTGAGGACCCTGTCACTACAGCCACTGATGACATCTGAGGTCGGAGCTGGAAGGGACACAGTGACCAGGCAGAGTGTCGGCTGCTGCGGCCCTGGCGTCAGCCACAGTGCCCACCCAGGCCTCATGTTCTCACTCATGGCACCCAGCCCTGGACGGGCGTCCGGCACAGTTCACGTGTCCCTCACAAGGGACACCCCTCCCTAGGACCCCAGGCCACTGCCCAAAGGAAGGATCTGGGCCAGGCTTGCCCAGCTCAGCCCACGCCAGCTCCTCATGCCTGTCCAAAGAGTAGGCAGGTAGCTGGGCATGGCGGTGCACACCCGTCATCCTACCCTCAGGAGGCTGAAGCAGGAGGGTCATGGTGAGATGTTTCTGTCATTGTATTTGAGATAGGTTCTCTGTGGGCCTGCGTCTCATCTGGAAAGCACTTTACAGAGACTTAGGGGTTCAGCCCTAAGCAAGGCTGGGAGCCCCGAAAACATCACCCACAGCCTCTTCAGCAAGGCCCCCAGGCCCCCATCTACCCAGACACAGGGTTCCCCCTTCTTCTGCCCGTGGGTCCTTCTACCCCTCCCATCCCTTGCCCCAGCTCACTTCTCCCCGCCTAGCCTGTTCCAGCCTCTGGGGAGGGCAGCTGGGCCTCTGCCAACCTCCGCCTACCCTGCAGCCCTGGCCTCCTGGGACGCTCGGCTCCATTGTCTGGCCAGCTGCTCCAGTCTGATGTCACCCCCTGGACAGTGGTGCTGGAGAGCAGGAAACCAAGGGACCTGGCCAGTGAGGGGCAGCAATTCACAACCCACAGCGGTGTCATCCCCACACCTGCCCCTGTAGAGCACAGTCCAGGCAAGGGCTGTGTGGCAGGCACCAGATCTCTGTCTTCTTCATTGCAAGGGCAGGAGACAGAATGCCACTTGTAGGTGGGACATCTAATGCCAGGGCAAGGGACATGCCAGGGCTGCACTGCTGCTGAGGAGCAGTCAAGGTCCCTAAGATGCCTGTATTTGGCCTAGTCTGACACGTGCTCACACACACGCATATGCACACCTGCTCCAAGCTGGGTGGCATGGAGCCTATCCGAGGAGGACTCAGATACCTGCTGTCAGCTGACCACACACCCCAACCCTGGGGCTGTTTGTGTCTGGCCCGGTGACCTGTATTTCGGTCTAGATTCCTGAGCGAGACATCAGCCTGGTGCCTGCTCATCCTGCAAACCTTGGCTCCTTGGGGAGCCTCCATGTCCCAGGCTGCCTGGGCCTCTTTCCTGCATGTCCCCGTGAGCTCGCTGTGATCCAGATGGCCACAGTTGCCCAGGAGGAGTGTGTGGGGGACTCAGGCTCCCCTGACAAGGCCCTGGGCGTGTGACCATAGGGAGTGACCACACAGCCGGGCGGGACTTCTCTGGGGCTTCCCCTTCTTTTCCCAGCTCCTGGCCCTTCCTCTCCTCCCGTTCCCTCCCCTGGGGAACGTGTGATTAATGTGGTTGGGACGGGTGGCAGGGCTCAGGCCCTATTCCGGGCTGTGCCCTCATTCTGGAATGTACCCTGAGGTCACGCCTGCCTGGCTGTGTGGGGGAGGGAGGCATGAGCTGAGGCTGGCACTGCCGAGCAGGAGAGAGGGCAGCCAGGGGCAGGTCTCCTCCGGGCCCAGGGGACCCCCTCGCACTTCTTGTCAAGGTCAGGTTGGAGTCTCTGTGCTCATGTCCCAAATTCACCTGGATCCGGAACCCTGGCTCCAGGACCTTGGCCACTCGGGCCACACAGGGCAGGGCACAGGGCACAGGACTCAGCTCCAGAGTGGCCCAGCCTATGTGGTCCTGGACATGGGGCTCAGAGAGGAGGAGGTGGGCACCTGGGTGTTGTCTGCCCTCTGTAGCTCTTAAGAGCCCCGCCAGGACCCTGCTGGGACAACAACAGACCCATCAGATCTGAGTGTTTGTCATCTGACTTGGTGACAGATGCACATCCGGCACTCTGTCCAACCTGATCCTTACAGCTTATTGTTTGGAAATGGGGACTGAAGCAGGACTCTCATGTGCCAGGCAAGAGCCCTACCACTGAGGATACCCCCAGCTATTTAAATTTTATTTTATTTTCTTTATTTATTTTTGTCTTCTTGAGACAGGGTCTCACTGTGCAGTCCAGGTGGGCGTTGAGTTCACTTTGTAGCCCAGGCTGGTCTCAAACTCACAATAATCCTCCTGCCTCAGCCTCCCAAGTGCTGGATTAGAGGCCTGTACTACCAGCCTAATGTTATTTCCCATTTTAAGAGGTGTGTGTGTGTGTGTGTGTGTGTGTGTGTGTGTGTGTGTGTGTGCAGGGTCTCACTACGGATCTCAGACTTGTAGTGATCCTCCTGATTTCTGCCTCCCTTGTGCTGGGATTACAGGCGTGCACCACCACACCCAGACTCCATCGCCAGCTCAGCACACCCGGGGGTGGGGCCGGCGCAGCACGCAGTGCCAGGGTTCAAACCCTGGCCCCTGCGCTTACCTACGCAAGTGCTTAGTCCACTGAGCTACACTGCCAGCCCCTTCCCCTTTTTTATAGATGGTGAATCTGAAGCTCTGTGTTTAATGCCAAACTTCCCAAAGTCATAAGGTTAACCAACAAAGAGCCCAGTTTCAGTCCAGGCCTGTCCTTAGTGCCAGGCCCCTTGCACAGTGGTGAGTGGCATTTAGCTGGCTCGGGGACCTAGGACAGTCCTCTTGAGAAGGCTGCAGAAAGCTCCCAGAGCCACATTCTCCCGTACTAAGCAGACGACACCTGCACACGGATCAAGTGGAGGAAGATCAAGTTTGGTCCCGCAGTGACACTGGCCGTGTCTCAAGCACCACATTTCACACGGCTAGTGGCTGTTCTGCTGGGCAACACAGACTCGGGCTATTTCCGTCACTGAGTCGGGCGTGGTGGCGCACCCCTGTCATCCCAGCACTCAGGAGGCTGAGGCAGGGAGGAACCCTGTGAATTCAAGGCCAGCCAGGGCTACATAGTGAGACCCTGACTCAAAAAACTCTTCCTTAGCTTCCCAGAGTTCCAGAAAAGGTAGACAAATTTCTACTCACACACACACACACACACACACACACACACACACACACACACACACTGCACTTTGTGGTGTGGCTGGTGGCCCAGCAAGCAGAAAACTGTTGGGGACAGACAGGGACCCTGGGGGCCTCCCGGGAGGCACAAAGAGCATTCACTTTCCACTCCCAGCCCCAGCTCTGAGACTCCTTAGATCAAGGGCCACCCCACCTCCCTGTGCCACAGGGGCAGCAGAATGCAAGGAGACCCCGCCTGGGGCCCTCATGTGACCGACATCAGCCATCACTCCGCGGTCCTCACGGTCAGCAGGCAGAGCTTAGGAATGAGACGGTGGAGCCCTGGGACGTGGGCGCCTTCACCAATTAGACACCACGGAGGCCAAGCTGGCGATTTCCTTGTGCACTGCGTCCGTGTGTGAGTGTGTGTGTGTGTGTGTGTGTGTGTGTGTGTACATATGATACTAAGGATTGAACTCAGGGCTTCACATTGAGATACATCCCCCTGCCTCACCACACCTGGCTTCTTTCAGTTTTTTCTTTCTTCTTCTTCTTTTTTTTTTTTTTTTGGCAGAACCGGGGATTGAACTCAGGCCCTTGCGCTTGCCAAAGAAGCGCTTATCCCACTGAGCCAGCTCCCCAGCCCAGTTTTTTTCCTTTTTTCCACTAGCCATTTTGTTTTGGTTTTTACTTTGAGATAAAGTCTTCCAAAGTCACTAAAGTTGCCCAGGCTGGCCTCAAACTTGGGATCTTCTTGCCTCAGCCACCCAGAGCGCTGGGATTTCAGTTTTGTCCCACCATGCCCCTATGATAATTTCCATTTTAAGACCAAATTGCACTTTGTACACACCTATGCACGCTTGACATGCATTAAATATTTACAAGCCTGTGAAGTGTATTTAATATTTTCCTCATTTCAGACAAGATGAAACAGGCTCAGGGGGTGGTGGGACACTTTGCCCATGTTTCCTGGCCAAGCAGGAAACCTAGGTTGGGGCTCTTAATCATGGGATGGTGTCTTCCACCATAGGTTTGTGTGTGTGTGTGTGTGTGTGTGTGTGTGTTGTTTTATTTTGTGAGACAGGGTCTCCAGGTTGGACTTGAACTCACTATGTAGTCCAGACTGGATTCCAATTTGAGAGGATCCTCCTGCCTCAGCCTCCCTGGCCCTCTAGAGATTTAAGGATAGTCAAGAATGGAAGACAAGGGGCTGGTGAGATGGCTCAGTGGTCTAAAGCACCTACTT